GGTTTTTATTGCTTCAGGTCATCTTAAGGGGAGAAAAGTTTAATGTTGCTACTTCACTGAGAAGTGTGCAACTGTATAACCTTCAATGTGTTTTTGCTGCACTTTGTGCAGCAACATGCTGGAGGCTGTGCTTTCTTTCAAATACAAACATGTGTGCATGTACACTAAGTATCCACTTAATCACTGTTTCGTGTCTGAAATTAAAAGTTTATTGTAAATTTTGAAAACTTTAGTTCCTCCTATAAAATTATTGCTAGTGCTATGAAATGTTAATTTTTCTTTGTTAGACAGAAAATGTGTCACACTAGATCAACTTTGTGACTATTAAGAGGTTATGATATATTTGCAGTGTCTGTATATGTATGCAGGAGAGCTCTCTTGGCATAAAAAAAAAATTTCACTTGGTAAATTTTGTGTTTGATAGGAGTTTTCCTTCATCATTGCATTGCTTCATTATTTTAATTGTGTATTTCACAGCAATTCAAGCTGATATGCTGAGCTGCTAAAGATAATGATCTGCTGCATATCATATCAAAGTTGGTGTGGGGGAGAAAAATGTCTGTTCCTGCTTCTCGTGATTTATATTTTTGACTTAGCTGATGTCTAATCATTTAAGTATTTGTTTTTCTTAAAAAGCAATGTGCATTTTTTCACTTGATTATCCAGAATGAACACGTGGAAAATAGCAGATGTTATGTCTTAAGGCCTGCTTGGGTACAAAGAAAACACTCAACTTTCTCATGTCATGACAGGGAGACACAGAAGTCTGTGTTGCATCCGAAGGTGGTGGGGGATGGATATGAACAGGACAGAAAGATATCTGTGCTGTTTTCTGTCCCCCACCCTCCTCTGCTTTTTCCCATTTTCTTGAGGCTTCTACAGCTGAAAAACAAGGGTGAAGCATCAACAATGCCAAGGAGGGGGAAGGAAGGTACTGGAAGCTGGGAATGGCTGGAGAGCAGAACACAGTTTCATTGGCATGCTCAGTCCTGGGGTTTTGCTCATTAGGATGAAGTGTCACACCTGAGCTGGCTTGGTGGGACTTGTTTGGGTTTTTTTCTGTGTTATTTTGCACGAAATAGTCTTCCCATGCAGGTGGTTTTACCTGCAGCAGGTTAAGACATGCTGGCTCAGATTTAGTAGAACCTCATGGACCAAAGGGTCTCAGAATGGTCAAGCACTGGACACTTGCCCATTATGTATCCAAGTATCTGGACTTCCCGTGGCTTGCACTATTTTAACAACTCTTCCCCAGGTTGATGGGAAGTCTCTACAATCCTGTTGGTGTATTAGCCTGACTCCTGAGCAGTCTGCTTAGGGAAAGAAAATGTTTTTGAGTGTCCATGAACTCACCATCTTTAATGCAGGATTCCACAGAACTGCAGACAATTCCTTGAATGCTGTATCTTGAGTCCTATGAAAAGAACTCTGAACATGTCAAAGATGTTTTCAGGCTGCTTTCTTGGTATTTAGTTCATGTCAAATTTAAAGGTAATCATTGTCAACTGGTAAGTCTTCATAAACCTGCCTCTACAGTTAGTGCAAATCTTTGGTAAAACTACCTTTAAAAAGAAAAAAAATCATGAATGTATTTCCTTGGTGTAATAAACAAACAATGCCATGTACACAAAGAACACCATGACCTCATTGCATTTATGTGTGAGGAATTTAGCAGAAGATTTTAAATCATGTAGAATTTTGGACTTGATGAGAGCCATGTGCTGGAAAGCCTGTCTGTTTTATTATCTATATCAAACAGTCTCATAAAACTTGCTACCTCCTCATGCAAACATTGCCTGGCCTGTAGTCTTAGATCATGGAAGCTACATGGAAGCCAAAGAGTGATGTGTCACACATGATGGAAGTGAAGCACTACTGAAGCTAACTTTTACAGATTCTTTGTTTGATTGCCTCTGGTTTTTGCTTACATAAAGTTGGGCTTTGAATAAAACGTGCTGATGTTAATTACAATTTCAAATTTAGTTTAGGCATTCTAAAATCTCATGCTGAAAGAAGAATTCCTTTGTGGGAAAGCTTTTTAGGTCTCTAAAATTTGGTGAGGCGACCAGAATAAATGATAGAGGGCTTGCAATGAAATAACAAGAAAATCAGGATTTTGAATATGTCAAAAGTCAAACCAGGATAAACTGTAGTTTAGCATTATTTTTGATGGATAATAGCATTTTTCGAAAGCGCATCAAACTCTTGCATGAGTTGCACTTTCTGATTCTACTGCTTAAATATGGCTCGTGCACTGTGATTTTTTACCATCTGAATAGTATTGAAAGGATGTGGTTCATATAGATAATCAACTCTAGAGGAATTTTGATTGAATTTTCAGTACTGTATTTCCTACCTGGACAAATTTAAATCCACAAATTTGACCTCCTTAGTATACATAGTCCTTTCTCTTTCAAGACCTTTTGCTTGAAGTATCAAACTACTTAGGTTTCCTGTCTTTATGTGGGAGGCACTTTGAGAGCTGTTTTCAAAGCTGAAGAGATTAAATTAATTTAAGCTTCTAGGAAAAATATGATAGCCCCTTCATAATTGTGAAAGAGATTTTGTATTATTGCTTAGAGGTAAATCCGTTCTCATTCCTGGAAATGAACACAAGCACAGAAGAATAAAATTGGAAAGGTTAAGGCGCCAAATGGTTTTCAATTAGCAGTGGATATAAAAGGCAGTAAGAAGAGCCTTTGCTTATATATTTTCCTTTGTCATTCTTTTTCTTCTGTCATGTCCATTACTTAACAGACATTAAGGGCAAGCCATAAAAATACAGAGAAACTATTAGTAGTGGCAACTTGGTGCATTGGTTTTCGTGAAGGCTAATTTGAGTGGATACTTACATAAACCATTTTAATAAGCAGAGAGTTGCACAGACAAGAGCAGACTAAAGAAGAATATTCAAGGTAAAGATCTCTGGTGACACTCTGAAATATTTGCAAGTTTGCACTTTTGTGAAGTGCTTTGTAGAAAAAGATCAAAATTCAGAAAGACCATTTTAGAAAGATACCATCAAAAAAATGATGTTCAGTTCAGAGGACTTCACAAGATTTAAAAAAAAAAAGAAGCACAAGCTGTTTTTCCAGGATGTGTCTTGCCCACAGCGCACCTGCTAACAAAAGGAGATGAGAGTTTCATTGTTCCTGTCAAAGGGCCCCAGTGGGATCTCTGTGTTTAATAAGTACCTCACTAGGAAAAAATCTGGACTGACTGAATAGTGTCCAGAGAACAGTTGTGTACCATGAGGACAAGGGTGGGAGTGGAGAGGAACACCTTACCTCAAGAGCTTGGATTTTGAGGGTGAAACACTGAAGGAGGTTGCATACAAGTATTTTGGAATCTGCTTTGTTGGCTGTTTTCAGGATTAGAACAGTTAGACAGGCATTTGTTTCATCAAAGAATGTTTAGAGCCTGCCTCAACATTTATATGGATTAGGTATTCTTGCCTCTCTTCTCTTCTGTTTCCGTGCTTATTTGAAATGACTGCAGCTGTTTTTCCACTTGAATAATTTCACAAAAAATAACCCAGATGAAATTGTGTCAAGCTAATGCTATGTGGCAGTGCTTGTGTTTCCAAAACAAGCAAACAAACAAAAAAATATACCCCCGGAGCAAGTGACAGCTGGAATGTGGGAAACCAAGATCTGAGATGTAAAAATCTGGATACAAAGGTTTTTCTTTTCCCAAAGTGAAGTGAAGGCCCCAGCTTGATCCATTAGTCATTAAATTGTCACTTTGCAAGTATGAAGTGCTAATACTCTGACATATTAAAGAGTGTTTCCTTATAAAATGCTCTTCTATGTATTTTCAGAAATGATCTGATAAACACCGCTAAAGCTTCCTAAATTCTGCATGTGGCCAGTTTCAGTAAATAATGGTGGATGTACTTTTTCAATTTGCATAGAAGCCTTGTCTATCAATGTAACTTACCTGTGTAGCAAACAGAATTTCAGGTTTTGAGGCTGTAACTCAAAGGAGGAGGGAGTGTTATCACCCTGTTCCTCCCATTCCAGCTTCTAAACTGCATATATGTGCAAAACTCCTAAACCTGAGTAAGATCTTTCCCTTCAGGCTTCAGTACTGCACTGTTTATCTCCATGTTTTTCCATGTAGAAATTAACTCATCCAGGTGTTTCCTGTTCACTTGCATGTTAATGGTAAAAGTAAAAACTAAGTGGCATTATGTGGATGTTGTCACTTGTGTTAGAAGTGTGTGTCATGCACCCTCTCCCACATGCAGAGAGGATGGGCTTGGAGAGTCCTTCTCCACCGTGCAGTTGGTGTCAGCTTTCTTTCATTGTCCAATAGTATCATTTTATGCTTATGATCTAGGTGACTATACATTTTTTTTAACTGATTTTTTTTTCCTAACACTTGTTGATATATTCAATTCTACTTGGAAAAACCTGTTTTTAAATAGCAAAGGGTGGTCTTTTAAGAACAGAAGCTTTTTGTTTTGTTAGTTGTCTGACCAGAAAGCTACAGGTTGTGCTTTCTATTCTGGTTTCTTGAATTCTTTCCTTCGTGGTATTTTTAAGACCCTTCCTTGTCTCCCTCGTTGTACTTGTATGATGCAACCAGCCCCACTCCATCCAGTGTGCCAAGCTGCCAGCGAGCTCCACGAGCAGTTGTGCTGGCACTGGTGAGCAGGCAGCACCACAAGAAAGTTGAAAGTTGAGGGATGCTTGAGTTGGCAAGGGCCAGAGGAGTAGTGTTCATCCTGCTGCCCTCCATTCACTTCGTGGAGGTTAAGATCTTACAGCACTTTCTATGCTTTGCTGTTCAATTACTAAGTGAATTTTAAAGACTAGGCAACTTAAGATTTAAGGATCCTGTTGACTGTTAGGCTAAATGAATATATATTTTTCCTTGAGTAACAGTTGTTCGTTTTTCAGGTGGCTTTTTCATCTTACGGTTATTTGGAGGAAGAGCAGTGGGTACAAACTCTAATTTCGAAATTTTTTTATTTATTTTTTTTTTAATTTATTTAGGTATTTCATTTGCTGCAGTCATACTTAGAATCAAAGCAGTTCGTTAGTTTGGACTTTCAGCAGGGACTGACTGACATCATTACCTGTTTGGGAACCAAACTATGGCTGGCTAAAAGGTAAGATAAAACAAAAAATATCTGTGATTTATTCACATATTTTACTAACATATGAAAGGCTTGGCTGATTTTTTTATTTTTATTTAGCAAGATGGACACATTTATTTCTCTAGAAATATGTAAAACTTAGATGCCTTACTGGCTTGCTGATTTTTTAATAAAGATGATTTTTATCTAAAAAGTAAAGATGAAAAAACATTGTAGTTCAGTCATTAAAGAAAAAAAACCCGTGAATGAAAATTCCTACAGAAGCAGACACTTTGAGGATAACTGTTTCTTCTTGACTAAGAAAAATATGCCCATGTACAAGGTTTTTATGTTCCTATTTTTCTGACTTTGACCTTTCAAAAAAATTAGTAGGAAAATATCATAGCAGTCGTTTAAACTATCAAAAGGATTTAGCTGTCCACAAACAATCCAAGATAGTTTTGGAAACATTTTTCATAAGTTCATCTATCTTGAGGTGACCTACATAGAACTTTCTTTACTTTCTCTCTTTTTTTTTTTTTTTTTTTTTTTTTTTTTTGAAATCTACTTAGTCTCATCAATTGCTTTTGAGAGTTCCTACCTGTGAGAATTCCCTCCCAAAACTTGAAGGGAATCCGTTGTGGACAAAGAGCACAAGTCCTTGCATAGATAGATGACTGGGAATATTCTACATCTTGCACCGTGGAGTGAGGTTGCCAGGCCAGTACAGCCTGGTATGGATCTCTGATAAAACCTGTGTCTCTTTGTGATCATCAAAACCAACATCATAAGTGGTTTGGAGGAGGGGGGTGTCTAGTGGGTTGAGAAGTCTTCTATCAGTGTTACCTGAGTTCGGGTAATCAAGATAGAGTTGATCTTTGAGAATTACACAAGTGTGAGAGTGATGATACGGCACATAAAACTTGGTGTAAATAATTGTGAATTGATGCTCATGAATGAAACAGTTGATTGAGCAGATTTTTTGTTTGAAAAAAAATCACTCTGGTTCTTGGTAAAGCCCAAGAGGGGAGAAAACACACCTATGTTTGTATATTAATCTGTGTTGTATGTTCAAATATTGTGTAAATCACAAAGATACAGTAGGAATCAGAAGCAGCATAAAGACTGACAGCAAGTATAGAACAGTTTCTACTTGAGGAGTGATTAAATAGCTTGAGATTTCTTATTTTATCCTGGAAAAGGAACAACTAAGGGATGACATGGAAAAAAATTAATTCTATGAGTCACATAGAAAAGGAACAGGAAATTAGCGCCCTGTCCAAGATGGCAGAGGTGAAGGAACAAAATAATGACATTTTTCATGTAATTTTAGTTTAGCTGTGGAACTCCATGATATAAGATAGTCTTGGTTTTAAACCTGTCTGAATTTTTAACCAGTGATTTAAGAGAGTCATGCAAAAAAAGTCCAGTGAGGTTACTGAGTATGTAGACATCACAGTTGGCTCAAGAATTTCATCAGCAACCTTAAAGATTGAGTCAGACGTTTTGGCAAGTGTCACTGTTTTTATGCTTTCCTGTGCATCTGCTTTCTGCCTGATTGGAGACGTCGTGGTGGATTTGGAGGATCTGTTGACTTGATTCAGCATAAGCATATTTAAGGCTTTAAATGAGAATGGTAATTTATGTAACTAAATTAAATCCATTTATACTGTTAGAAAGAGAAAAAACTCGCAAACACCGGAGACCCAATTTAGTAGAAAGATACTCAAGCTTCGTAATTCAAACCTCCTTCTCTTGCAGCAAATATGTAAGGGCCAGGCTCTGATCATTACAGATTTTAAATAAATTCTACATTTTCAAAGTATTTTTTCAGAACTGCCCCTTTTAATACATCAGTAATATTAATACTGACTCTTTTGTTGTTTTTCTAGTGACTTTTTTATTATCATTATTATTTTTATCATCTCTGGAAAGGAAATGTTTTCAGGTTATCTCTAAGAAATTCTGGTGCATGGTGTAGGTATTTTCCTTAAGAGATATATTTTCTCTTTCACTTGCTTGTAAAAAGCCACAGCTGTATGTGTAATATTTACCCCCTGTCTAGCACATTTTCATTTTGTCAGTTTGTTGTAGCCTCTTTTTCATAGTGTTGCATTCTCCATTATGCAGTTAATACTATGCATAGAGTTTTTTAAAATGTCTTTCTCCCCAGATAGTAAATTGTTTTATTATGAGCATACAGGCTTGCAACACTAACTTAAAGCAATGGGTTTTTAAAATTTGCAAAAAGAGTTTCTGTCTCTTAATGGACATTATCAGTCTTGCTGAGTCTGTACAGCCATAGATCCTTAGGCACACTTGGAGCTAAGATGTGTTTTCTTTTTTCTTTCTTTGTTTTGTTTTTTTTTTCTTAACCCTAAAAAAAGCAAGTAAAATATCCACAAGATAATTTGCTCACCTCTCAACTTTCTCCTTGAGATAAATGTATTCAGTGTGGTGTAATTTAAAAAAACAAAACAAACATATAAAAAACCAAGCAACCAAAACAAAAAGATATTGAAATAGGTGGTATTTTCTGGTAGTTTTAGCCTCCCACATTCAGTGTGCAGCTTTACTGTTTGTAGTTGGCTGGGTGGAGGTGAACAGCGGTGGGGTTTGAGGGTTTTGTTGTTGGTTTCTCTTTTTCTTGTTTTAAAGGAGTATTAGGAGGTTGCTTGGCAACCGAGTTGTGAGACTGAGTAAGGCCGCCTGTGTGGGTTTCGGGATGTTAGTAGAGAGTATCAGTAAACCAGCACTTTATTCTTGCTATGTTGTTAAACTTTTTGGTATATTCCTGCTGCAGGTCACTGTCAGAGAGGGTGATGGCTGGCTGGACCCTTGGTCTGTGTACAGTCATTCTTAACCTTCTTTCTGTTCAGGCAAAGAGAGTGAGCATAATAGAGAAAAAATAATGGGTCTTCATCTGCTTTTTCTGCCTTTTTTGTAAGGAGATAATTTAGCATGTTGCCAATATTGTAGTGCAGTGACTGTTTGAAAAGAGGGTATAAGAGGCACTCACTATTAATCTTAAATGAGTCAAAAAACAGTTCAGATTTAACAGGAAAATGGTTCACACGTCTGGGGAAATGGGAAATTATTCCCAGACATCAATTTTCAATCACATTTCTGTGCTAGTTTTGTAAAGTTCTTGCTGGTGTTCTTTCAACTACGTACTTCATACTATGGAACAAACTTCTCCGAGAATCTTAAATTAAAAAATTTTGGATTGCATATGTAGTTCTTAAAAATGAAACTCACTTGTCATGTGTGTATCTGTAGGAAAAACTATTGTTCTTCAGTGTTTCCTGAACTGGGTGGGGTTTTTTCTGTGTTTGGGTTTTGGTTTGGGAGTTCTTTTGCTTTTTCAATGCCTGAATGTAATTTCCTTTCATCAGAATGTATTGGTGTAGAATAGTTCAAGAAGCTGTTGCACATTCCCTGTAATATAGTGATTTCTTCCTTCCCCACTCCAAGACCTGATTTTCCTTTTGAAAATAAAATAGTGGGTCGCATTCCCCAAACTGAATTTCATAAAGCATTCACTTTTTCAACTGGTATTTTCTGTCTGTTGTGAAGGCAGACTTCTCATACTAATGACACATAGTTGCTTTTTCTTCTTGGTTTTTTTTTACATTTTCAAAACATTAACTTTTTTGTGTATTCATAAACAGTATTTCCATTTTTGATGTTTTGGTGCATAAGACCTGCCTTCCATCCATTTCTCAAGGTGATGTTTGAATCTTTTCACTACATTTGCAGGTTTATACTTCACTTGGTGTTTTTTATTTTGTTTTGGAATAAATCTGTTTGTTAGTTTAAATTGGTATAATAATGTTATTGCTTTCCTCCACCTTCACACCAGTGTTAGTTCATTGTATTTTTTTCATGTAAAGGAGGTGCAGGGGGTTTTGAGAAGAATAGAAATTAAAAAAATATATAAAATCTGCTTTGTTGGAGAACGGAGATGATGGAATGAAGTGATGGAAATTCATGTGGTGAAAACTTTCAAAAAATAATCAATTTATCAGGCTAAACCTTTGAAAGAGTTCAAAACCCTGTCATATGAATTTGGAAAAAAAAAAAAAGTAGTTTTTAGCTCAACGGCATACCAGGGAGTTACAAGACTAACTCTAGATGTCTTCTGCTTCATAAATACAGAAAGCTAAAAGAGCAGCCTTTGGAGCTGGTAATTTGTTGTACAGAAGTCCCAGAAATACCTCTCTCTTGTTTTATTTGTAGCCTTTGGCATGGCAAAGTATTGGTATTGGAAAATTTGTGTAATCATGTCATTGCACAGCTTTGCTGTAGGATGCTGCTTTCCAGTACTTTGAGTTTGATTTTTTTTTTCCACCCTCCTTCTTACTGAAGACCACAGGAGGGGGAAAAGACTTTGAGGTTCTGCCAGAAGTCAAATAACATAACTCTGCTAACCTCCAGCCATGTGCCATTTCTGAGCTGAGAGCCTGTCTGCACTGGGAAAGTTTACTTCTAAGAAGGCTGCTTTCTTGAAACTAACTTGTGTGGAACAGCCTTGTATAAAACCAACTGGCTTTGCATTTTGCAAAGAGTCCCTGGTTCGTGTGGAATGGGCCGCCTGCCATGTGTGCACTTAGGTTCATAACCCAAGTAACCCGTGCTCTGCAGTGCTGCTGGTTATAGCTCTCTATGGATGGGACTGTTCAAATACAAATAGGTCCTGATGTAGGAGCACAAGATTCGACCTCACACAACAAATACATGCAAAAGTTATTTCAGGCTCAGGCTCAAAACCAGGTTCACTGTTCACTGAGATACGTGCTGCTCAGTTTTCTCCAGGCTGACTCCAGGATGATCTAACTATGACTGCTTTGAATGAGGGAAATCCCACTGGTATTTTATAATGCTGCAGAGTATGGTAACTTGTCAAGTTGATGGCCATGGCACTCCATCAAGCCTGTAGTGTCCCTTTTGCCCCTCCACTTTTGGCAGCACTGTGTGAGTGACAACAGGCAGATGACCAGTCTTCGGTCCTTTCTAGAAGGAACTTCATGCGA